CGCCAGCTGCGCTATCGGCGACGGGCGGGACGGGGCCGGGCTCTGTGCTCTCCCCCAGCCCCAGGTAAACGCGGGGTTCAGGGCTCCGTACGCGGAATTTATGCCGCGGCCGTACAGCCCGGCACTCGCAGCTGCTTGTGTGCGCAGCTCAGTCGGCGCCGGGAGAACTGATATGGGGGGGGGGAACAAACCCCCCAAACCTCAAAGACAACGCACCCCGCGCAGCGTATTTGAGCAATTTGGCAAAATATTTTTCTCTACCCTCTTTAGATGTTCAATTTTGCAGTTTCCTGGCTAAAGTAAAGCCTCATGGGGAGTAGGAACGATGGTGGTTTGGTTTGTGGGTTCTGCTGAACTGAGATGAGTGAAAGGCTGACTTTGATTCCCGTTAGGGAAAAATTAGGGAACTTCTCTGCTAATTTTTCTTTGCAAAAGTTGGCCTGCTTATCACATTATGTGAATCATCCAGAAATTCTGTCAGCTTTGTAGATACAAATAAGTTACTTAACTCCTTCTAGTGAGGGATTACGCTGCAATGTTAATAAATCAGACCAAACACTGCACTTCCTGAGTGCAAGTTTGTCTCCCTTGCCAAGATTTCCTTCCATGTTGAGATTTATTACCAACATCATCAGACCTTTCCATGATTTTGTCATACCTTACCTGCAGAATTAAGTAAAACATAAAATTTTGATTTGTCGCTTTATGTTCTTTGCAGTAGAATGCCTTGCAAAGCATCACATATGTTTTGGGGGTTTGTTTTGTTGTTTGGAGTTTTTCTTGCCTGACTCAGCTATAGGGAGAGATGGTCTTTGCCTACCAGAGAAGCGACCGGGAAAGCCCCTCTCACACTGTAATCACAGCGGATGCTGTACAGCAAGCAGCTACGTCCAGGCAGCTCAGTCGTGAGGAAAAAAAGGAGAAAGCCAAGCAGAGGCTGCATGCCGACTGAGAGCTACCAGCCCAGGTATACCCGCAGGCAGGGTGCTGCGGCCGCGACCTGCCCCGGGCTCGCCCCGGCGGCGGCTCTGGGGGATCCGGGGCAGCCCCAGAGGCCTCGGGCCCGCCGAGCCTGGGCCCGGCCCGCATCCCCTATGCCGCCCGTCGCTATGGGAACGGGCGCAGGCGCGAAGCATGCCGGGCTGAAAGAAAACGCCAGCGCAAAACGCTAAGAGAGTGCCGGCTGCTGGCCAATGAGCGCTCGGAGGGGTGGTGGCGGTGACCAATGGCTGGCGGTCAGCACGGAGCGGGGTGGGGCTGAGGGTGCTTGGTGGCGACGGCGGCGCGCGCGGGTCGGTTAAACCGGCGCAGCGTCGGAGCGAGCTGCGTGTCCGTCTGTCCGTGCCCCGCCCGCTTCGTTCCACAGAGGGCCGGTCCCGTGGCACCCGCGAAACGGTGAGGGGAGCGGAGTGAGCGCATCGAGCGCTGCGGTGCGGCTGCGCCCCGCAGGCGCTCCGGGAAGGCTGAGGCTGGGCAGTCGGTGCCCCGGCGGCTCCCCTGTGCCAGGGCCCTTCCCCAGCCGACGCCTCCGCTTCTCCCGCGCACCCGGGAGCCGCGGGCCGGAGCCTTCCCTGCAGCCGCGCGGGGCTCCGAGCTCTCGGCGGCGGGTGCCGGGCTTCGTTCGCCTCCCCTGGGCAGGGCGAGGCCGGCGGGGCCGGGACCTGGGGCGGCTGCGCCCTCTCCCGGGGCTCCCGGCGGGCGGCAGCCGGGCTGGAGCGGGACTGGGGAGCGGGAGCTGAAGGTGTCCGGGCTCGGGAGGGAGGCAGCGCTGCCCTGGCTCCGAGCACAGGCTGTGCCTGCGCCTCTGACACCGCCGGCAGCAGCGCGGCACAGCCCCGGCGGTGGCACAGCGCGGGCCCGCGAGCTGGCAGCGAGTGGTGGCACCTGCGTGACTGAGCGCTGGGCAGGGACCCGGGCAGGTACGTGCTCCAGCAGCTCCGAGTTCTCTTCTTTGCTCGATACAGGCAATCATGAGCGATCGAAAGGCAGTGATCAAGAATGCAGACATGTCAGAAGAGATGCAGCAAGACGCTGTGGAGTGTGCTACTCAGGCCTTGGAGAAGTACAACATTGAGAAGGACATTGCTGCTCACATAAAGAAGGTAAATGTCTGCTTGTACCATCCTCCTGAAATCTCTGTGCACATGAAAAATCAAGCAGGCAGAATGTTGCTGGGCGGGTAGCTCTAGAGGAACAAGTTCTAGAGACACTAGATAATCAAGTTGGACTTTCTCTGTAGGCTGGTGTCCTTGTGTTGCTTTCCCTACCCTTTATGTGGACTTTTCTGGGTCCTCTGCTTTTCTCTTGCATAACATTCTACTTAAGCGCTTTCTGCCACTGTCCCATTGTCCAGGTGAACAGAGAGTGGCAGCTGACTGTCCCTGTGGCTGATGAGCTGGTACAAAACACAGTGGTTCTATTGAGCTCTCCTACAGTTTTCCTCTGAGAGAAAACCTGTTTTACAAAGTCCTTGGTTTCAGTTTTATTGAACTTAATCTTCAGGATCTGTTCACAGTTCTGTCCAGCTAGGTCGAAAATTGTATGGAAAAGTAGCTTTCTGCAACTCTACTGTAATCACACCTCTCCTTATGTAGTGACGTAAACAAAAAAAAAAAATCTGGTGGCACTGACTATCTGTTGTTTGCAATGTCTGTGTCGTTCTTTATGTAGGATTAACAATAGTGAACATGGGAAAGATCTAGTTCTGATTATATTTCCTGCTTCGTCAGCTCAGGAGAATGGGGAAATCAAAGAGCGTCAATGGAAGCTAAACTGATCTGAGTGGAAGAGCTGTTTAAAAAGTAATTCAACTAAGCAGAATCATTGCTTCCACTAGAGAAATATTGGTTTGTTGTGCCCACAGTACAGAAAAGCATTTCTTTTCCCAGATGCAGGAAGTATCCATGACAGTGTAAAAGAAAAAGTTTATTCTAATATTTTTCAGCTATTCTTTATAGCAACTATGGGAAATTTGCAGAGGATTTGTTTGAAGTGTGTAAAACAAATTCTTAGATTTGTTGATAGTACTGGTGATACAGAGCATGTGGCAATTTTCCAGTGAGTCCCTTTAGCACCCATTTGTAGATGAACAATGAAGTTGAAACGATGGCTTTAATCTCTATGGGTATAAAGCTAGTGGTGAAACTTACTCAAGGACTATAGTTTCAGATCATGGTATGAATTATGTGGGGAGAAAGATGGCTTTCCCTAACAAAACTAATGCTTTAAACTTACTACTGCTCAGATAAGAAGTACTGTAGCTTTGTATTTGTGGATTTTTTTTTCTCTCTAAGCAGCAGGTGAGCAATAAGATGTAAATAAGATAATCCTAGTATTTGAGAGCATCTGCTCTTCCTCTAATTGCCTTGCTCAGAAAGTGAATACCTGTCTAGAAGAGTTCTTAATTTCTAGTGTTCTGTTTTGCAGGAGTTTGACAAGAAATACAATCCCACTTGGCACTGCATCGTGGGAAGGAACTTTGGAAGCTATGTGACTCATGAGACCAAGCACTTCATCTACTTCTACCTCGGCCAAGTCGCTATTCTTCTTTTCAAGTCTGGTTAGAACCATGGACTGTTACGGAAACTTGCATCTGGTTACAGGACTGTGCTGACTCCTCTGACTAGTTACTGCAGCCTTACTGAGGACGCAGACCTTGATCTTCAAGGGCAATGGCAGGGATTATGCTATAGCAGATGATGTTACTTTGTGGATATAAAAAGGAAAAATACCAAAAAAGTCTTCCTTGTATTTATTTTTTTTTTTCAGAAGGCTGCTTCTTTGCTAGTAGAGCTGTTGGAGCAGTTTTGCCTTTGACTTTTATAGCCATCTACAGCATTGCCCATTTACTGTTTCTCTATGTAAGTACTGACAGTGTTTAGTTCTTTCTGTTCCGAACCTCTCTTATTCTGATTCGGTTTTTTTGATTCTTTTTTTTTCCCTTCTTGTTTTGCTGGATGTACTGTCCAAAAGCCAGAGCCGTTTTGTTTTGTTTTTTCCTCCCGCTGCTGCCTGGTGGAGACCCGCTTTGGGAAATAAAGGACGAGCTGTACCGCAGGTCGTTATTTCTGGCCGGTTTGTGCCGCGGGGGCGGTGGCGGTGGCGGTGGCGGGGGGTGACCCGTCCCGGTGAGGCCGCCGGTGCCGCCGCGTTGCGCGGGGCTGGGTGCCGGGGAGCGGGGTCGGCCCGAGGCCTGGGCGCCGCCGGGCCGGGGGAACTACAGCTCCCGGCGTGCTCGGCGGCGGGCGGGGACTGCGCGTGCCCGCGGGTGCGCCCGGGAACGGCTCCATCCGGGTCCCGGCCAGCGCTGCGGGCGGCTTGTCGCCATTACGGGGCAGCGGCGTTCGCCCGACCGTGGTGGTGTTGGTGCTGCTGTGCTCCGCTGGCGTGGCCTCCGCCATGGAGGAGAGCTGCCCCTGCGGCTCCGGTGCGAAGGGCAGCAGCTGCGATCCGCCGCGGGGGACTCTCAGCCCAGGGGCGGTAAGAGCTGGAGCGGCGGGAGCGAGCTGCGAGGGCCGCGCTATCCCCTCTGCTCGCCCTGCAGGTGCCATGAGGCGGCTTTTCCGCTCCACTCCGCGCAGGGCCGGTCCCGCGGCGACGGCCGAGCGGGGTGTGAAGCCAGAGGAAGCGGGAAGGCTGAGGCCGAGCAGCGGACGCTTCTCTGGGCAGAGCGACGCCGGCGGGGCCGGGACCTGGGGCGGCTGCGCCCTCTCCCGGGGCTCCCGGCGGGCGGCAGCCGGGCTGGAGCGGGACTGGGGAGCGGGAGCTGAAGGTGTCCGGGCTCGGGAGGGAGGCAGCGCTGCCCTGGCTCCGAGCACAGGCTGTGCCTGCGCCTCTGACACCGCCGGCAGCAGCGCGGCACAGCCCCGGCGGTGGCACAGCGCGGGCCCGCGAGCTGGCGGCGAGTGGTGGCACCTGCGTGACTGAGCGCTGGGCAGGGACCCGGGCAGGTACGTGCTCCAGCAGCTCCGAGTTCTCTTCTTTGCTCGATACAGGCAATCATGAGTGATCAGATGAGGGTGATAAAGGATACAGACATATCAGAAGAGATGCAGCAAAATACTGTACAGTGTGCCATTTTGGCCATAGAGAAATACAATGTTGAAAGAGCAATTGCAGCCCTTATAAAGAGGGTAAAGGTTTGACTGTAATATCGTTTTGTTGAACACTATCCACACCAGAAGTCGAGCAGGGTGGGTGTTACTACACTTTTTGGAAGAGCAAGTTCTTTGAACACAGGATACAGTGGACTTTTCCTGTGGGCTGGTGTATCTCTGTTCCTTTTCCCATAGTTCAAATGTACCTATTCTAGTTTTTGTTTTGCCAAACCTTCTATTTTTAATTGTTTTCATCATTACTGTCTAGCAGAATAGCATAGCATTTGCTGGCCTTTCCCAGTGTGAATGATTAGTTGGTAGCAAATGCAACCCTTTGAAGTCTGCTGTAACTTTCCTCAGAGGGCATGCCTTTTTTTACCTAGTCCTTGACTTAAGAAGTCGTTTTCAGTTTAGTCTTAATGTGCTGTTTGCAGTTCTGTAATAGTTGTGAAGATTGGCTAGCTGGTTCAGAATTTGCAGGGAAAAGTATTTTTCTGCACATCATCTGCATTCACATCTTCCTTTTATGTTCTGAACCATGCTAAAATCCTGAGTCTTGGAGCATTGTTTATCTGATGTCCACAGATTACCTATTTTTATATATGCATGAAGAACAACAGATGTGCAAAAGATCTAGTTCTGATATACTTTCTACTTTGCCATCTCAGGAGAATAAAAAACCCCAAAACCTAAGGGTACTAGTGGAGGTTAAATATTACACAAATCTAAGTGGAAGACCTGTTTGAAAAGTTATTCAACTAAATGGTACAATTGCTTCTGTGGGGAGGTCTTCATTTCCAGTCACCCTAACAGAGGTATAAAAAGGTTTTATTTTTTTTTTTCACTTGTAAGAACAACATTCTGTGTTAGTGAATAGCAGAGTTCAAGCTTGTCAGATTTTCCTTGTGGCTCCTAATTGGAATCTGAGAAGTTGTGGTGTGGAGATAATTTGGGGTTGTAATAACTGATCAGAAATGTTTGCATGCACTCATGGAAAGTTTCCTCATTTGAGTACTTCTTCACTGCCTTTTCAAAAAGTTATGCTTGTTAAGAAGAGACACATTAATGAAAAAAAAAATATCTCTGGTCAACTTTTGGGGAGGAGCTGTGCTGCTACTAAAATCCTAGTGATCCCTTCCGCAGGAGTTTGAGAAGAAATACAGTCAGCCTTGGCACTGCACTGTAGAAAGGAAATTTTGCAGCGACATGTCTCATGAGGTCAAGTACTTCATCTTCTTCCTCATGCGTGGTGTAAATACTCTGTTTAAAGCTGGTTAGGGCTATGGATTGTTGTTGGGAGCTGCTTGAGCTGACAGGACTGCACGCTAACGGCAGCTGCTCAGTGCCTTCAGCCTTCCTGAGGAAGCAGACCTTGGTCAGCAGGGATTTTTCCACAGTGATTGGTGTGTTTGTTGTGTTTAGGAAATAAAAAGAAGTGCCTTGTATTTGTCTTATTTCCAGAGTAGGCTTTGCTATTAAAATGTTGTGTGTTCAGTCTTTTAAGAGTTTTATGGCTGTTTTCTGTTTCTCCCTAACACTGCTTGTGCTCTTAATTTCCCTGTGAACAACTGCCTTTCAAAGAAATCTCTTTTCACATTGAGAATACCTGAATACTGAGCTCAATGCAGGAGTGAGTCAGCAGCCCAGAGCTGCACAGAGGAGCCCCGGGATTGGACGGGACCATCGGAGTTAGACCAAGCCCTTGGTTGGGGTCGAAGGCTGCTCTTGCCCAGTGCTCCGATGGCAGTCGGGGCTGCGCTGGTACAGGTCTCGGGCCTTGAAGATAAAGTCAGGATCTTGAGTGCGTAGTCAGTAACCACAGTCCCTGCTGGTAGCATCTTCCTTGCTCAGAAGAGGGTCTGAAGGTGCTTCCCTGGGTTTGCTCAAAGCTCCGTCGGGTTGGGAGTACTGGAGAGCACTCTGCTGGGTTCCGGTTTTATGGTAAATCCATCTGCCCGAGAGCGCCGGGAGGGGTTTTAGCCGAGTCTCCTGGCCGCGTCCTCAGTATTACAACAGTATTTAGGAAGTGTGCGGGATGTAGCCGGTGCCGTCCCCGCCTGCCCTGGGCGGTTGCGGCTCTGCCACCGCGCGTTTCCGTCGCTATGGGAACGGGCGCGGGGCATGCCGGTCTGACAGCCAACGCCCCTCCAGGGGCAGCCCGGTTCTGGCCAATGAGCGCTCGGGGGAGGGGTGGAAGTGACCAATGGCTGGCGGCTGGGGTACGGGGGGCGGGGCTTAGGGCTGTGGGAGGTGGCCGCGGCGGCTCCCCGGGGCCGGGCCCGCGGTGCCCGTGAAACACCACCCAGGTACCGGGGAGGCTGAGGCTGGGCAGCCGGTGTCCCGGCGGCTCCCCTGTGCCAGGGCCCTTCCCCAGCCGCCGCCGCCTCTCCCGCGTACCCGGGAGCCGCGGGCCGGAGCTTTCCTTGTAGCCGCGCGGGGCTTGCCGGGCTTCGTTCGCCTCCCCTGGGCAGGGCGGGGCCGGGACCTGGAGCGGCTGCGCCCTCTCCCGGGGCTCCCGGCGGGCGGCAGCGGGGCTGGGGAGCGGGAGCTGAAGGTGTCCGGGCTCCGAGCACAGGCTGTGCCTGCGCCTCTGACACGGCCGGCAGCAGCGCGGCACAGCCCCGGCGGTGGCACAGCGCGGGCCCGCGAGCTGGCGGCGAGTGGTGGCACCTGCGTGACTGAGCGCTGGGCAGGGACCCGGGCAGGTACGTGCTCCAGCAGCTCTGAATGCTTTTCTTTGTTACAGGTAATCGTGGGTGATCAGACAAGGGTGATAAAGGATACAGATGTGTCAGAAGAGATTCAGGGATGTGCTGTGGAGTGTGCCATTCAGCCTCTGGAGGAATGCGATGTCGAGTGTGACGTTGCAGCTCATATAAAGAGGATAAGTGTCTGCTAATAATGTCTTCCTACTGAATGCTATATGGACTTCAGAAATCCAGAAAAAATGTTGGTGGGTAAGTAGTTCTAGAGAAGGAAGTTCCGTGGACACTAGATAATCCAAGTCAAACTTTCTTTGCAACCTGGTGGCCTTATGTTCATTTCTGTACCCCTTAAATGTACTTTTTCAATTCCTCCTCTTCTCTTTCACAATTACTTCTGTTTAAGTCCTCTCCCCAGTCTCCAAAGATAGCACTTGACTAGTAAGTTGCTAATGGTCTCTTCTGCAGGTGTTTGACAGGAAGTATAATCCTACCTGGCATTTCACTGTTGTGAGGAATTTTGTGACTCACGAGATAAGTCACTTTATCTTCCTCTGCCTGGGTCCTTTTACTGTTCTTCCGAAGGGTGCGTAGAGCCATGGACTGTTTCTCAAACTTTCATCTTGTTGCTCAATTGTGTGATAACATGCAAAGCCTGGTACCTTCAGCCTTCCTGAGGATGTAGACCTTGGCTTACAAGGGGAACGGCAGGGATTTTGCTAGCATATTTTCACTGTAGTTAGGGGAAAATAGCAAAAATAAATCCAAACCCACCAAAACCAAACAAAAAACGTAACACCCCCCCAAACCACTTTGTTGTATTTATTTTCTTTCCACAACCAGCTTCCTTGCTAATAAAAGCGTTGTGTTGTGCCTTTAAAAGTTTTATGGCTATGTACCCTCTTTTTTCTAGTATTGCTCATGCTATTTCTTAATTCCCTGTGAATGTGGATGACTAACTTTGTTAGAAACTTTATTTTCTCAACTCTAAACCATCTCAGTGTTATGGTAACCACCCTCATAATCTAGTCAGTCATTATAAGAATAATAAATCTAAACAGGGAACAAACAGGAATTAAAAGAATTGTTTGGGTTGGAAGGGACCTTAAAGACCATCTAGTTCTCACCCCGCTGCCATGGACAGAGACACCTCCCACCTGCCCAGGGTGCTCCCAGCCCCATCCAACCTGGCCTTGAACCCTTCCAGGGAGGGGGCAGCCACAGCTTCTCTGGGCACCCTGGGCCAGCACCTCACCACCCTCACAGGGATGAATTTCTTCCTTATATCTAATCTAAATTTACCCTCTTTCAGTTTAAAACTGTTACCCCTCATCCTATCCCTACACCCCCTGATAGAGTCCCTCCCCACCTTTCCTGTCCCCCCTTTAAGCGCTGTGAGGCTGCTCGAAGGTCTCCTCGGAGCCTTCTCTTCTCCAGGCTGAACCCCCCAACTCTCTCAGCCTGGCCTCCCAAGGGAGCTACTCCAGCCCCCTGAGCATCTTCGTGGCTTCCTCTGGCCCCGCTTGAGCAGGTCCGTGTCCTTCTGCTGTTGGGGGCCCCTGAGCTGGACCCAGCACTGCAGGGGGGTCTCCCCAGAGCGGAGAAGAGGGGGAGAATCCCCTTCCTCGACCTGCTGCCCCACCCTGCTCTGGATGCAGGCCAGGACATGTTTGGCTTTCTAGACTGTGAGTGTACCTTGCTGGCTCACAGGCAGTTTTCCATCTAGTAATACCTACAAGCCCCTCTCTGCAGGGCTGGTCTCAATCCATTCCTCGCCCAGCCTGGATTTGTGCTGGTGATTGCCCTGACCACTGTGCAGGACCTTGCACTTGGCCTGTTGAACTTGATGAGGTTTGCACAGACCCACCTCTCCAGCCTGTCCAGGTCCCTCGAGATGTTACCCCTTCCCTCCAGCAAGTCTCTGCACCACACAGCTCGTTGTCATCAGTGAACTTGCTGAGGGTGCATCGATCCCACTGACCGTGTCATTAACAAAGATGTTAAACAGCACTGGTCCCAACACCCCTAAGGAACGCCACTTGTCACTGCTCTCCGCTTGGACATGGAGCTGTTGACCAGAACTCTCTGAGTGCGACCATCCAGCCAATTCCTTATCCACCAAGCGGTGCATCCATCAAATCCATGTCTCTCCAATTTAAAGGGGGGACATGTGGGGCAGTGTCAGATGCTTTGCACAAACCCAGGTAGATGACATCAGTTGTGCTTCCCTTGTCTACCAGCACTGTAACCCTGTTGCAGAAGGCCACCAAATTCGTCAGGCACGATTTGCCCTTAGTGAAGCCATGTTGGCCTCACAACTTGCACAGTTGTTTGCTACAATTCAGTGGAAATACTTGATTCTTTATATCCTCTCAGGCCTCTATGCTCACAAGCTTAACCCCTAGTACTGTCAGCGCATAACTGCTTAAGAACTGACAGTGTTTAGTTCTTTCTGTTCCAAACCTCTCTTATTCTGATTTGGTTTTTTTCGATTCTTTTTTTTCCCCTCTGTCCAAAAGCCAGAGCCGTTTTGTTTTGTTTTTTCCTCCCACTGCTGCCTGGTGGAGACCCGCTTTGGGAAATAAAGGACGAGCTGTACCGCAGGTCGTTATTTCTGGCCGGTTTGTGCCGCGGGGGCGGTGGCGGTGGCGGTGGCGGGGGGTGACCCGTCCCGGTGAGGCCGCCGGTGCCGCCGCGCTGCGCGGGGCTGGGTGCCGGGGAGCGGGGTCGGCCCGAGGCCTGGGCGCCGCCGGGCCGGGGGAACTACAGCTCCCGGCGTGCTCGGCGGCGGGCGGGGACTGCGCGTGCCCGCGGGTGCGCCCGGGAACGGCTCCATCCGGGTCCCGGCCAGCGCTGCGGGCGGCTCGTCGCCATTACGGGGCAGCGGCGGCCGAGCCGGGGCCGGGTCGGCGCCGAGGAGCCGGTGGGTGCCTGGGCGGTGCCGACCACTCGGGCGGCAGGCAGCGCCGGGCCCCGCGGGGCTCCGTGAGCAGCTTCCTTCCCGCGTCGCCCGGAGCCCCGCAGGCCCGGCCCGGCCTCCCGCGGCCCTCCCCGGTTCGAGCGGAGCGGTGAGAAGATGTCGCCATGAAGGAGGCCGAGTCCGCGCTGCGCCGCCCCCGCCGGTCGCCCCTGCGGGCCATGAGCCTGGGCCCTCGCCGGCTCCGCCAGCGCCCGTCGTGCCCCCCCGCTCAGGGCCGCCGCTCGCCCGCCGGGGCGCCCGTTGATGCTGCAGAGCCCGCCCGGCGCGGCCCCCGCCTCAGCCTCCGCCATGGACAAGAGCAGCCCCTGCGGCTCCGGGGCGCCCGGCTCCTCGGCCGGCAGCAAAGGGCAGCAGCCGCGATCCGCCTCGGCCGGGCCCGCCGCGGGGGAGTCTAAGCCTAAAGGCGGTAAGAGCCGGGGCCGGAGGAGCGGGAGGGGGTGTCTGGCCGCACACTGGGGTGTCCCGGGGGTTTCGGGCCGGTAGCGGAGGGTCTTCGGCCGCCTGTGGGTCTCACTGGTGGCGCTGGGGCGGTGGTCTCTCGGGAGGGAGGGACGGGGTAGCCGTGAGCAGCGGGAGGCTGCGGGGGCCGATGGCCTTGTGCCGGGGTTGGGTTTGTGGTGAAGCTGAACCTCTCCTTGTTCGGGTTGTTTGTCTCTCAGCTGGGTTTTAATAGGCTTCGTTTCCGATCACAGCTTGTTTTTGCTTTCTTTTTCCTTCCTCTTCCGGCTTTGTTCCCTCTCCAGTGAGCTGCGGTTCCTTCTCTCTTCTTCCCTTAAGGATTAATGCTTTATCTCCATTTCCATTGGATTAAGCCGCTTGAGAGCCAAAGCTTTGGTATTATAGTTAAGAGCATGCATTTTCTAGTACTTATTAAGAGAAACCGTAACTTTATTCTGTATACAAGTTGAGCGTGCTTTTACGTCATGCTTAAGGAGGTCTTGTATTGATACACAGCATTCCCTTTACCTGCTTTGGAGGAGCTCTGAGTTAGTTACATACTGTTTGCTCATTTGGCATTTAAACTGAAGTGTTAGGTCTGTCATTGCAAACAGATAGTTTTGCTGACATAGCAGTTCATCAGGAGCCATTATGATTCCTGTCATCTTATCTTTTCAAGGTAAGACCTAAGCCGCCTCCAGTTCCTTAAACCTGTTTGGGAGCAGTCTTCCTGGCAACATTGCATGTTTTTTCTAAAACCTACAAAAGGAGCAGTAGTGATTAAAATTAGTGGGTTTAGTCCTGGAAGTATTTGTGAGTGTCTACAGGTTACTGCAACACCATCACTGTACTAATTTCCTTCCTCAGTGGTTTGTTTCAACTGTACTACTTCAGGTCTTTCAGAAAGTAGCAATGTATTTCAGAGGGTTAACAAAATGACTAACTTGAAGGTCTTGACTCTTTTTTTTGGATCTTCTAAAATGCGCTCAGATCCTGTGTAACCAAGTATTTTCTGCTCTTCACTTGTATTAACTGCCCTTCTGCAGCATAGACTGAAGTGAGTGGCATGGGAGGTGCCTCACTCACAGCTCCCCAGGTTGTGTCGTGACTGTACGATTATAGTTGAAACTTAACTTCAAATTCAAACATGTGAAGGTCTTCTTAGGAAGAACTTTTTTAGGCAGTCATTTCTGGAAGAACTCCCAACTGATTTGCAAAGTTTTTTGCATCAGCAACAGGATTTGATGTGAGAGTCTTATTCCTAGCTACTCTTGTTATTTTTCAGTCTCTTTTTTTTTTTTTTTTTTTTTTTTTTTTTTTCCCCTCTTATGGGCAGACCAATGGAAGCAGGGGATATCACGTGCTGAGTATGCACTAAGAGTTTTAGAACCAGTTCTTTGTCTTCTGATGGATTAACAAAGTATATAAACTTCTCTGCATGTGTTGTGAGAGTCAGTGTGAAAGGCTAGCAGATGTGAGGTTTTCTGTTGTGGAGAACTGCTGTTTGTCTCACCAAGACATACATCATCACTACAGCTTCTTTTTTAGTGACGTGCGACGCTGTATGGAAGATTGTTCACAGAATATAAATGTCCTTCAGTAAGGAGTTAAGATGATCTGTCCTGTGGTTGGTATGCCTTCACTAGTAGCAGAGTTTCAGTGAAAAGAGGAATCCTGATGTACCATACTCTTCTACTTCAATACAATAGACTAACTTTTAATTCTGATGATCTCTTTTTTAATAGTACAGAAGAAAATTTTGGCTTTACATGACTCTGCTTCTAAGATGCTTGTGTCTTAAGTACAGCAGAGGGCAAGGGGATATGGAATGAGTTGCTTCCTTTACAGTGCATCAAAGAGGGCTGGAAAAATAAGCATCTTTTTTAGTGGCAATAAATGTATATTTGGGAACATCTGAACTGTAGTGTACTGAAAACTAAAATGAGAAGATTCCCTTGGTCAGATTAGGGCAGACAACCACAGGAAGCAGCTATGTTAAATAGTGGCTGTGTTTTGATAGCTGTTACACACAAGGCACTGGCATGTCACCACACGGGATATTAATTCTAGGAATGGTATGGCTACATGTAGCTGATGTGGCCCACCCATTTTTTCTCCTGTTTCAGGAAGGGTATAGGATATATTCTGAAAATCTTGTGTCTCCTTTGAAATGTAAAGTATTCTTATGGACCTCAGTCCAATGCTGACCTTTAGTTACATAAGTGACTTTTGCATTGATGGTCACTGGATTTAAGTCCAGTCAAGCTCTTGCCATTTAGATGCTTTCCAGAGTTACCTGCTGTGATCAGGTCCAGCTGAGGAAGTGAAGAAGTGGACATTTGTGAAATCTTGTGGTGGCTTCTCCTTCTGTTTCTCTTGCAGCACAGCTTGAAATGGGCTAAATAGAATACTGTAAGCTCTTGTATTTGTGGAATTTGTACTCCAGCTATCTTTCAAACTTGACCTTAGAAACTCAATTAAAACTGAGAAGTTTCCAACAGAAAAGTTTCTTTGGGTTATATTAGTGCACCAACAAGAGTCACACTCCATTAGGATGAAATAAAGTACCTAAGGAAAAATAGGTTTGTTGGGTTCCTCTGCAGTCCTCGAGCCTGATGGACAACATTAGTTCTCGCAAATGCTCCTGGGCTGCCTTATTATTACAGTGTGAGCATGCTTAGCTGGGGTGCGTGACTGCTCAGTCACCTCTTGCTCACTGGGATGTTTGCGTTAGCAGCAGCATTAACTTCAGTGTGTTTTCATGAAATCACCCT